CATGACGCCAGACTGCTCACCTACATCCAGTGGATCTTTGATTTGCATGACTTGTGCACGCATGGTAGCTGTCGGGCGATGAGCAATACCCACGCCAAACTCTGTAGCGATACGCTCAGTTGCCTCTGACACGTTTTTAATGTACGGTAGATGGTGCCAGAGCATTGGTGGTTCCCTTTCGTTTGTTCCTCGTGGGCGCGTACGGAGGCAGCGGTTGATGAAGCTGTTCGGGTATCCATTCATGGCCAGTTAGTCCCGAAGATGTCGTAATCCTTGCACTCGGCCTTCCGGTTCACTACAGTGTATCTTCACTCTCTGAAATAGTGCTCTAATACACCCAGGTTTTATACGTTATTGGGTAGTTGCTATAGAAGCTGAGCACCTGTGTTGCGCTAGTCGCCTTTCTACAAACTGTGGTGCTGAGTTACCCGTTGGGCCTGCACGTGACGAGGACAGTCAGGAACGGTAGTTATCCCTCTGACGATGTTGTCTCTGACGATGGCTTCCTATGTGGAGTCGAAAGTTCAGAATAAAACTATCGTTCCAGAGATCGCATCTTCCTCTTCTTTACAATCGTGGATTCGTTCTCACCGACCGCTTACGGGACACACTCGTCTCATTGTGCTTTGGGACTCGCTTTCTAACTCCACCTCCCGCAGTAGCAAAGCTGCTAGTGTTATAGACAAAATAGCATTACCTTAACCGATGGATAATCGCGCATCCGCTCCGGAGTTGAAGTTTTCAAAAAAATAAATCCTTGCCCGTTTTACTGTCACCTACTTTCAACATTTATTCTGTTCTCCGAACAACTGGTCAAACTTAAGCTTTTTCACAAATTGTCAAATGGTTGGTATTTTGCAAGTACTGTCTCAGCACCAGACACCCTTCATCAATCGAATTTCCTCTATCGGCTTATCTCGTTGAACATTGTCTTTTGTGGAAGTCAAGTTTGGCGAACGAACGTTTTCAATTAATTCATCATCAGCCGAATACACTAATATTAGAGAGAGTAGAGATAAAAAGGACGAAGAAGGTTCAAGGACATGGACCGAGTTATATTGGGACTGACGTTTCGGCACTCGCTTGTTTCCATGTGAGAGTAAGTGGCGGTTTTTCCTGTTTGCCAGGACTGTTTCAGCCTCGCTGTATGCCTGTTATTATATCCATGCTCAGCGCACGAACTTTTACCTGCTTGTTCGCTGCTGACTGTCCGTGAGATCGACTGCTGGGGGGCTCGTGTAACCTTTGTCCCCTTTGCGGCTGTCGTAATTGTTTGCAAGTCAGTGCGCGTACTGGCCTGTCCCTCGTTCACCGACGGACTAATCACTTGTTGCTGCCCGCATGAGTTCATGTCAACCTGCCTGTTATTATATCCGTGCTCAGCGCACGAACGCATGCAGCGAGGCCGAAACAGTCCCGGCAAACAGGAACAACCACCACGTTACTTTGACGATGG